TCATGGCACATCTGCTCAGAGACTCAACTATCAAGTGTGTTGGGAAACACAATTCTAATGGGACGAAATAAAAGAGAAATGTAAGGGCAGAAAGAGAAGATAAAATATTTGCATAATTTCGAACAAAACAGAATAAATATAGTATTTTACAGATGAAAATTATTCCTCCTCTACTAATAGGTAATTGGACTTTTATCACAGGGTATACATTCAGGAAACAAAAATAATCCTATGGAAACACAGTCATGCTTATGGATAGAAAAAAGTGTACTAGGTGTGCTTTAGCTCTGGTAGACTCATAAACTAAAACATGCTTCCTTAAGATGGCTCCTGCATTACCCTTGCAACTTCTTTCCAGTTTCCTTATCAGAAATTTGTAGTACATGAAGAGTAAAGGGAGAATCCAGCTTCCATTCTACAGTGGCTGCCTGGCGTCTGATTATTGGAGTGTTACACCAGTATTTATGCAATAGAGATATGATCAGTAAAGCTCATAGCTACAAACCACAACAAAGCATTTCTGTTCTTCACTATAGGCACCCTCAGCATTAAGTCTGTTTTCTGCATCATCCCTCATAATGTTATGTCATATACCTAATAAATTCCCTAGTTTTCCTGGATTTGCATATTCCTTGAACACTGCTTTAAGATTCTTACAGTAAATATACTCTTAGATATTGAGAACTGATTTAAATTCAGTTGTTAATATATAATAAGTGATGGTTTAAACTGAAGTCTTTTCTGAGCCTGCATGTGTTTCTGCAGGGGGAGTACTGGGGAATTGAATCCTTGGCTTTTGATCTGCTTTTTAGACTGAATCCAGACTCAGAAAGGAAAAGCAAACTCCCACGAGTGGTCTGGCTGTGATATTTTGAACCTGACTGCAAAAAAGCTCTAAAAGCAGCAGACCATGTGCAATGTCTAATTGATTAATCCCACTCTTTGGGAATTAATGTTATTTCTAGTGAAAAAGAAACACTAAAAAAATGGGTTGGTTTGTTGATTATGAGCCCTGGCCCGACCTCAGCCTTGAATTTAAATCCCCAGTAGAAGCCTGAAATTAATCCACCTCTGGCTTAGTTATCAGTAATTATAATTATTAACAGAAGTATCCAGTAAATGAATGGCTTTCAGTGACATGGTGTTTTAACTTAGAATAATGGATAACTAAAAGTGCACTTCCTTCTTACCTCACAGCATCCTTTCCCATAGCAGGCAGGATCTCATCTTTAAATGGGCATGGTAAATGACATAAGCCCAGCCATTTGCTTATATATATACAGGCATTTGCTCAAATGCTAAAATTCTACATATTACCAAGCTGAGCAGTTGAAAAGTGCTCCTCCTGTATCAGAGTTGATGGCTTGAAACTTGATTTTTCTGCAGCTAATCAGCTGAGCGCAGCAAGAGCAGCAGAAGCAGCTGCCCTGGGAACACTGGCACTGGAGCTCCAAGCCCTGCCTTGTCCATCAGTGCTCCCAACACGTTGCAAAGGCCATGATTTCACCATGTGAAATGGTCCAAGAGACATCCCAGGCTATCCCACAGCGGGATTTTGTGTCCCGCTATAGTCCTCTAATTCAGCATGAAGGAAACCTGCTGCTGGGAGCTGTCTGACCTGGAGCTAGCTCTACTAGCAGAAGCAGACTCAGAGGAGACCATCAGCTAGTTCAAACACTGTGATTTCTGGAGACATCTCTCCAGCTATCTGCCTGTAAACTGCTGTACCCAGAAGAGGCTTAATGGAGCTGAAAGGAATACCTTCTGCCAATTGTCACAGGACTCGAAAGCTTGGACCATCACCAAAACAGGAAACAGAAAACCTAAGCTGAGAATCCAACCAAACAAATTGGCTGGATTATAACCATGTTGGGAAAGCCCAGCTTTTATTACAGCTGGACTGCATGCTGCTCAGCACTGCAGGCAATAGGAGCACAGCAGCAGTAGGAAATGACCCTGTAGGGAGCAGCCTGCAAGCCAAACACAGCATAACCCAGAGAGGACGATACACAGAAACAGAGAGTAGGGCAGATGAAGAGTTATAAGGAAGAAGCTGGGAACACATCTGTAAAAGTGCCTAAGGGACTACAGGAAAATGTTGGCTTCTTTAGGACAACAGGACCAGAAGTGAAGGGCACAGCTTCGCACCTGAATTACTGCAAGTGCATTCTTGTGAGTCATGGCTCAGCCATTAAGGGCACGGATACCTCTCTGCAGATCCACTGCAAGGTAAACCAGACTTCATGTCTCCTCCCTCAGAGTTTAAGCTTCCATGTTTTTCTGGCTGGGAGCCTGTGCTCAGTCAGTGCTCTGCAGACATGCAATAACTCAATGGACTCTCTCGGCTCAACAACCCAAATGCCCACGGAATTAGTTAATTAATGCCTCCTGAAAATAAGTTAATTACACTCTAGGTCAGGCTTTGTCTTAAGAGGCTGAGCTGCTGCAGAAAAACAGAGCAGGTGATCATGAAACTAAAGACCATCGCATTGTGCACAGAGAGAAGACAAGGAGCACAAGCAACTCCATTCTGCCATCCCTCAGTGGCTGAGTCCCTTGCTTTAACCTAACCAACTGAATGTCATGTCTATTCTGATATATCAATATATGGTAGCCAACTCCCCACTGAGGGCTAAAAGAAGCAGCTGAAGAAATAGATACAATAATTAGGCTAGTCTGGATGTTGTTCCAGGCTACACTCCTACCGCTCCCAGTGAGATGGACCATGAGGTCCAGGAAAGACTGAACGCACAGGGCTTGGGCACCACTAGCTCACTGCTTCTGTAGGGGCTTGGCAGAGTAGCAAAATGAAGGAATAAACTGGGGATTTCTCTGGCTGATCATACTCCTTCCTGCAGTGACTGCTGAGGCTGAGAATCGCCCTGGAGGTGTCCTTTCCCCAGACCCTACACAGTGATGCAGTGAGCCCCCAGATCTCCTCCCTTCCCCCTCAGTTCACAGAAGAAAAACACTAAGATGTTTCTGTTGGCATCTACGTCACCTTTTTGCAGAGACTAATCTTCAGTTTCAACAATACATCTTTTGTGAAACGCTTCCAGCAGAAACCTTAGACACCTTCCCTAAGATCTGTTTGCTTACAGAAGACGAGGTAAGATTTGTTTAAACCCTTCTAGATTAATGTCTTGCAGACATTAGTGAAGTGAGATTTAATCAGGTTATTGTTCTACATTTTCCAGGGAAATAAATCACACTTATTACTAGATTGGAATAAGATGCAAGGCTTGTGCTTAGCACATTTAGTCTTTTTTGTTTTTCCGGGGCGAGGAGGAACAAATGGGTAACTTGAAAGCTGCTGCAAGGTTGTTGAACAGGGAGCTCAACAAAAGGCCCCCAATGACTTGTAGGTGAGAAAAGTGAAAGAAAGCCATAATGGCTAGTGCCAGCCTAGGGATGTGCCTTGGTTCCCCTTCCCTGCCTTGCAGATGTCCAGTCCTGACTCTTATTTTACTCAGATGTAATGCCATAGGGTCCATATCAATACAGAAATCAAATAGGAATCTAAACCAGCATTTAAAGCAGACTTGCAATGTCCACTTGAGATCCTCCAGGGGAGCTCTTCCATAAACCTGAGGACCTCAGGCCTCTTCTGAGTGCCTGCTTCTACCTGGCACAAGGGAACAACTCCTTGCATCACAGGGGTGTTGTGGGATCAAGCAACATTTGCAGACCTTCTTACAGACCCTAAATGGAAACTGTAATAGTCAGCAGGTGTAGCCATATGCTGCTGCAATGGTTTTGAACTTTGCAGTATGTGTTTAACAATGAACATACAACTGTATTTACTTTGGCATTTTTCTAAAACAAGGCTGGCTACACAATAAAAAACTCAGCTTTTTTTCCCTGACCTTTGATTCAAAATCTGCTTTTCATTCAAAAAAAAACCAATCCACCAAACCCAAAAGACTTCGCTCTCAGCTATACTAGCAGTGTTTTCTTTAGCACAAATGCTAATACATCCCCTTGTATGAAATCATGTATGTGCAAAAGGCAAAGTTTGGGAAGTCAAACAGCAAGGTCCTCTCCTCTCCACCAGCACAGGAACAGAAAGCTGAAGCCAATACAGGTCTTTCCGCTAACTACAGGTTTGTGTGCAGTGAAGTGGCCAAACCCCAAAAGGTTTACATCCATTTCCCTTTGCTCAATGGGCTCTGCCAACACTGGAGAAAGCAAATTACAGTAACACAGCCTGTAATCAAGTTTCAAATTGTGCAACAAAGCAGCACAATGGGACAAAACACAATGGGACCAAGTCAAACTCTTACTGCGGAGCACAATAAAATATATCCTGTTTTCTATGACGGAGAAAAGGAAATATCAGGCGAGGCAACACAGTTGCTTGTAAATACCCTCCTGCCAACGCCTGCCCTGGCTAAATTAGTCCTCTGAACCCTGACTGCATCAGCATGAATCAGTCTGTCTGCTCCAAGGTAAAGGCTACGATTCTGTTTCGTGTTCAACGGGAACTCTTCTCCCAGCCTTTTCTTGGCTTCCTGCTGAGGAAGAACAGGCTCTCCAGGGACAGTCTTGGATCTGGACCACGATCTTGCTCCCTTCAGATAACTAAGTATCTCTGGGCAGGAGTGCATTTAAAGAAGCAGCTGGTAATTATGAGCCAAGTGCTTACTGGCAGGATTTCCCCCTGCTGCTGAGCCAATGCTTTTGAGAACTAAATGACTCTTTGGTGATAATTATCAGGTAAAACCCACAAGCCAGGGGAGGTTCCCCCATTAGAACCATCAGCAAGAAACAATGCAAAGGTGGGTGGAGGATGGCTGAAAATCGTATCTGAGGGTTGCTTGACTCCCCTGTCCTCCACACACCCAACACAGTTGTATGTAATTGCTGGGCATTTTCTAGGTACTGCTTGAAAGCTACAAAATCTGTTCCCACACCTACAGCAGTAATAAAAACAAATGACCTTTTCTTTTCAGCTTGTCAAAATGAACCGAAGAGCACTGGGAATCCATCACAGCACTTACTCTTTTGGAGGGTTAAGGTCTTCTGGTCGAGCCTCGAAGAACCTGAAGACTTCATCACACTGTGAAATGTGAGGAGGAAGACGGACCAGTGCCTGCAAAATATAACCAGGAGGGAGAAGCACTTAGAGCTGTCAAGTTCAAAACATGGCCTCAAACATCTAAACTACCAAGAAAGAGGAGGCAAAACAGTCCTGACGGGGGCAAAGGAATACAAAAGGGAAGCATCACATCTGGCTACTTACTTGAGAAGAACGGAAATAGCATGTCTCAGCTGCAAATGTCAAGTTGGATGAAATGAATTGAGACAAGGATTGGTTCTTAGAGTCAGGTAGTGTAAATTTTTTGCCATGTGCACAAGAGGAGATTTTGGTCTACCTGTGTAAAACCGTAACAATGAGTAGATAAGTGCTCTGTGGCTGGCACAGTCTCCGTGCCATGTGTTTGAACAATACCTCAAACAACATGGTTAGAGCTTACAAGCTTTATGTCAGTGCACACAAATTCAAGCAATGAAAACCCACAGACTCAACACCAACTAATACAACAGGTTAATGTGCTCCATAAATCTTTCTGTTAAGCAATGTCAGCACAAAAAGTGGCGTTTGTTAAAAAAACCCCAAACATTCCCAAATCAAACAACAATTTGCACTGAAGCTAACAGGAAAGGAAGTTTCGTTAAATGTCTGAAAGAAAAAGAAACCAAACACCACCAAAATCACAGAAAGGGCACTTTTGTCTTCCGTCTGAAGACAATTTTACAGCCCATCTTGGCTAACAGTGTCCATGTACTCTGCAAGGCACAGGTATGCAGCACTTGCTGCATTCAGCAATAAGTACAATTTGGGAAGCAACTACATTATGCTGAAGCATACTGGAAAGCAAGACTTCAAAACAGTGAGACAAGCACACAAGGTAGAAATGTGCTATGAAATTGCTGATCAGATTCTAAAGCTGGTGCCGACAGAAGACAGAGCTGTCCCCAGCCCAAGGAGATGGGACATGAGATTGCCTCCAGAAATGATCAGTAGGAGAGGAAAAGAGGTTGGAATTCACCTTCTCCTGTGCTAAGTTACATTGAAAATAGGCCACAGTTTAAATATAGACCAAGCTTCTCAGAGGTGCTGTAAACCTGTTTGACAAAATGAGATTGTCTGGCTCTTCTGGTAATTGAAAGATAGATGAGAAACCAGAGCTAAATGTACGTACATTAGGGTGAACTGGTTATACTAACCCAGGAGACATCTGACTGATCTTGGTCAGACACACCAGAAAGTCCAGCCAAAGCGTTAAGGCCGGACAGGGCAGCTGGCTACCCTCACGGCTGTTTTTAACCGCGCTTTAGAAGTGGCCAGATTTGTTTCCTAGACCATTCCTGCTTGGGGATGTGAAGGAATTCCTCCTCTGAAACTGCACGTGTCCAGTATTTGATGATGGGGTCTTTTTTGAGGTGGCCTGAAAATCGAAGCCAAGTGCTTCCACACATACAGCTCTCTTTCCCTGTCTGAGGGATGTTATAACAGGAGGAAAATCCATTTAATATCAGCAGGTGTATGAAGAATGAGGCCCTGGCCTTTGGTCACATGGAAATGCACTATAGAGCCGAAAAACGTACCTCGCAATAGGGAAGCAGCATCAGATGCAGAAGCTGGGCAACAACTCAGTGTGCCCAAGTGCTGGGGCATGTGTACAGAACACTACTGCTTGCTGCACTAACAGAGGATGAAACATAAGAGTTGGAAAACTCAAGTGCTCTAATTTGAATGAAGAATGCCCTGGTTGCCACTGATACCTACTCGATCTGAAACCATAAGAAAGGTGTGAGCTCTCTGTCCTTATTCCTCGTGCATAAATGCAGCTGGCAAATTAGGACTAACACTGGGAAGTCAAGAACCACCCAGGAATAGCAACAATCACAGCATGTTGAAAGAGAAATGCCTCATCAGCACAGGAAAACAAGGACATAGACAACATTACAGCATGTTTTATTCATGTGTGTCTCAAGCAGGAGACAGACATAGAGAAGCAATGTTGTCTAACCAACAGTGGATGGGGCTGAGATTTAGTGATGGCTCTATTACTAACACCCTTCTCTGTTCAGGCAGGCTACTTAACCTCTTTCTGTCAAATTCAGCAGGGGTATATCTTCAGTTACCCATTTACAATGCTGAGCAATAACACTTACCTAATCTGTAGAAAGGTTATGAGGCTCAGATATTTAATATCTACAGTGTGTTTTGAAATCTCAAAGGGCTTGAACTTGTGCAGTCAAATGGGGCAAGAGCAAGCACTGCAAATGATACGTATCATTACTAGAAAAACACAAATACCCAAGTTATACCTATCACAGGGGGTCCTGGACATCAGACGCCTTCTCAGAGAGTCACCACTTCCCCACAGGTCAGAGGTATTCACCCGTCCCAAAAACCAGGCTACAGATGTCAATACTGAACTGGAGTATAGAGTGGGTTTTCAGTGATGGAGGAACACAAATACTACCAAGCTACTCTGGAGATTTGTGTTTCTAACTAAAGGGAAGCTTTAGGAAATCCAAACCTGCCTGAATCATTGCCCTGCTGCCTGGAAATCTCCAGGAGCACTGTGGTTCTGCTGGGCCAAAGGGGGATAACTGAAAAGCACCTCGGTGACTCCAGGCTTTTGCAGGCAGGGGATCAAAATCAGCCAAAGTCATTTCCACACCCAACTATCCACCTTCCCACCCTGGGGCAGGACTGGCTCTCCAGCTTCTGAATCACCTCCCAAAGTGCTGCAATTTTTAGCCCTGTGCGCAGAGGTGGAATGAAATCCACCAGTAGTAACTTGCCATTGCATTTTTTTGGGGGAGGCTCAGGTGTAAAGTCTTTAATTTGTTTTTGTTACAGAACAAAACCCTAAAAAGGGGTAAAAAACAGTGAAAAAAAGGAGAAGAGAGTGCAAACGGGGGTGTAAAACCAGGCAGAGCCAGTCTATTGATTTTGGACAGTGGCAGGGAGTAGCAATGCTGTTTTGAGAAACAAATGTCTCTTCAGTCAACACACAACATCCACCCAGGAGCAAGCCAAGTCCAATGCGATTCCAGCAAGCAAACAAAAAGTGCATTGAGAGGAGAGGAGGGACACTGCTGACACTCTGAAAGGGGAAAACACACACTTCTGGCATTTCCAGCAAGACGGTCCAGGGCAGAGCTGCATCAGCCTGAAGGAGAGACTGCAGGGTCAAGGAAAGAAGGTTGACGAAAAATAGGGAAACTGATGGTAAGAGGGCGGAAAGGACAGGGAAATGACATTCTTCCTGGGCTGTGGAAACCAGAGGTAAATGCACACAGTTACAAACGGCAAGCATCCAGAGACAGCAAGGAATTTGCACAGGAAAGGTGAGAGATAAAAAGTGCCAGTGAGCAGAATTCAGCCTTGCACAACTGTCAAGTACTATCAGTAATAGCATGCTTTCCTCATTCAGCATGCAAAGGCGGATGTGCACTGCTCAGACCTGACACGCTCCCTAGGAGATAGGCTTTTATGTGTCATTTCAGCCTGCAACGATGTCTGTCTCTCTATATGAGAGGTTTCAGACAGTCTCACAGAGTGGATGATTCAAAAGGCTATTGAAAAGCTTGAATGTCAGGCAGTGCACAAGCAGGCAGCCCTTGGTGCTGGGCATGGCCGGCTGGCTCCTCACACAGTGCCAGCTCATCCGCAGGCAGGCTGCTGCATGCCACACACACCTCTTGAAACAAACAGAGCACCCATTGCTTAAGTTTACATGAACTGGAAACAGTTCCATGCGCTATATTACAGCTCAGCTCAAAGGCTTCATGGAATACACGCACATGGGTGTAAAACCACGCAAGCACTTGCAACGATGCACCGAGTGCTGTGCGCTGCATCTATGCAGATACATTTATAAAAAACAGATGCACAGACATGTATATGTAGAGATCTGTGTTCAGTTCTGGGCTCCACAATACAAGAAAGACGAGGAGCTACTGGAGAGGGTCCAGCAGAGGATGGTCAGGGGTCTGGAGCATCTCTCTTATGAGGAGAGACTGTAGGAGCTGGGCCTATTTAGTCCAGAGAAAAGAAGACTGAGATGGGGATCTCATCAGTGCAAACAAATATCTCAAAGGTGGGTGCCAGGAGGATGGTTCCAGCCTCTTTTCAGTGGTGCCCAGTGACAGGACAAGATGCAATGGCCGTAAACTAAAACATGGGAAGTTTCACCTCAACATAAGGAAGAACTTCTTTACGTTGAGGGTGGCAGAGCACTGGAAGAGGCTGACCAGGGGGGTTGTGGAGACATTCTGGTTGCCTGGAGATATTCAAAACCTGCCTGGATGTGTTCCTGTGTAACCTGCTCTAGGTGGCCCGGTCTTGACACTGGGGGTTGGACTGGATGATCTCCAGAGGTCCCTTCCGTCCCTAAACATTCTGTGATATACAGCGTGTATGTAGGCATGCGTGTGTATACACACGGAATACTATTCATCCCATTGACCTATATGTGTCTAAAATGAGAGACTGGTCACACTTGTCTATCAACTTGTATAATTGCTAGAGAAAGATCAGCACCTTCAGGGGGTGCTTAGTCTACCCCACCATGGACGTCTAGCTCTGGATGGGGTGATTGTGTCTCCCCACATTGATTGTGTCTCCCCACAGCCTGTTGAGGCAGTTCAGATTCATAGCTTTTAAATCACTAATGTGGAGTGGGGTTAATCCCAGCTCTGCACACTAATACCCAGAGCCAGCTGATAGTACTGCATGGTTATGACTCCCTGACTTTTCACATGAAATATCCTGTTCTCAATTGTTTATTGCTTTCATTAACATTAATCATGATTAGTGCCAGATGTTTGGGAATGGTCATGAGTCCAGCAAGAGGGAAGGTGCAATTAAAGTAGTTAATTTCTGAGAACAGAGAAATAAATTGTTTCACCTATATGGAAACACTTTCCTGTTCTGTTGTGAGCCTCAAGTAACTCTAGGCTTGAACTCATAGCACCTGAAGTGTGGAGGTTGGATGGCAAACATTGACAGTCAGAGAGGTGACGAGTGCATGGTGGTGACTCAGAATGGAAAAGAAGTGGGGAGATATA